TATATAATGACCACAACGTCCTTGACGTTGTGGATATTAGAATGAGGTACTACTCGAGAGCTTGACGGCTAAAACACAATAGGCATTTGAAGTGTAAACAACGGAAACAGAAAATATCGGTAGTATATATGAAACCAAAGTCTGCACATTACACACATATTGTAGCATATCACGGTGTGTCATACCATACCACATTACCCTGCATTGTGCATCATATCATTAGCGTCTTCTTGAGGATCCGGAGAGTGTGCACATTCTACATGCTGTAGAATGTTCTTTTCTCAACAAACGTAGGTTCGTTTTTCCGATAAGAACGGGTGTGCGACTACAAGAATAGGTTTAAGAATGTGACCTTCATTGATACATTTCGATGTGTCGGGAGGTTTCACAACCAAGTTCATGGCTGACTAACTGAGAAAGATGTCAAGGATCTGACCCTTTGACGGGCGGATTTACTAAACCAAAGAAAACTAAGTATAGTTTGAAACTAGTTTCTTGGAAGAAGCCGGGATTCGTGAAATTAGTTTGGAGTGTATGTTCAAAATTTAGAGAGTTGGAGAATAATGCAATGATCAAATGTTGACAGATGCATGTCAAAAAAAAGCAAGTGATAAGGAACCTCTCAGTACCCGAATAGCATTCCATCGCTGGATAAAATGACGCGAGAAGTCGGCAGCAATGCGTCCGGACAAAACACATCCGATATCGTGCCAAGGAACCCGAGGCGTTATCATGCGGTCCACAGTATCTGCGGCGAAAGGCGTGAAACAACGGGGTGCTCATTAATATGCTAGAGAAATGCAGATACCATAGCATTTTGCGTGCAACGAATGATCCACCAAAATAGGTAATAAATTCCCCACCGTTGTTTGGTAGGCTAATTACTTTTCAGACCCAGCTGAGATCCACTACCGTGCGCAAGACAGGCGATTCAGATAGGGGTTCAAAGATATCCAGAAACCTTCTTGGAGGTAGACACGAATTCTTACTATAGATCATAAGGGGAATGTCGTAACCAGACGATAGATTGAGTGCTTCTGGTGAGAGATTTTATTCAACTAAGGGTCTGGATCAAGTATACATTGATGGTCCTTCCTAGTGCTCCGTGGTACAACTGCCCCTCCATGCTAAAGCGACGGACAAAAAGCAGTTAAATCTGCTTCTGACACAGAGCAGATGCAACCTGGGATTTTCCCCAGATATCAAGCTCGCTTCAGTTGCATACGAGTCTCACTGTATATCTAATAGTATTGGATAAAATGCCCGCTGGTTCGAAATGTTATCCCATGCAAACTGGCAGTTTTTTTCATATATCATTAAGATGACTGTGACGGTATACTGTTGAAAAGTGTCCATCAGCCCTATCGTATCAAAAGATAATGAATGTGAATCTTAATTTTTGGCTTCAATTAAATATGAAGTGGTCAAGTTCGGTGGGGAATAGCACACAAGACATCCAAGTGCGTTCGCGAAAGTTCGTGGCGTACTCATCTCAACTAAAATGGGGCAGATGGTGGGTTGTGTTTGATATACGGTTTGCTGATTAGGAGCAGTTTCAAAAGTCTCCCGTTAACGTCAACATATCACTCAATCGAGTGCTAATATGCGTGTATATCCAACCTGGCGTCTAAATATGAAGTCAGATAGGGCCACATGATTTGCTTTAAACTGAGTAAAGATGGTATTTAGCGGTCAAAAAGTTTCATTTGCCTTCCAATTATTACTCCGAACTCGTGGAGATCGTTCCAACTGAAACGTAAATCGGCTTTATGTGACGAATTGGGAGCAGAGAGTATTACAAACGAGAGATTCAGCTGAGAATTAACTGAGTCCCCCATGGATACCAACTTACAAACGGCGGCTGATCCCCTGCTTTTTCAGCTTCAACTATACACCGCAGATATGTTGCTTCACTTGCTTGCTGCATGCACATCAGGTTGCCGGATTTTGGCGACGCAGTTTTCTACGTTCTGGCGCGCTGCCAAAATGATGACCAAGTTCAACTTGATCGCAGTTATTGTGAGGGCGAAAAGAACCACTGTTTGGTAACTGAGTTCTAATGATTGCGAGTTGCAAATGACTGCAATCGAGCAAATATCGTTCAACCAGAAACCGCCCAGGTTAAGTCGTATCGTCCCCTCCGGTAGGATTGTGAAGGCAGTAGGGTGTTTCCCCCAGGCGACCAGCATATCCATGTTTACGGAAGCAGCGATGCTGGTTTCCCCCCATGAAGGACGGGTTAGAAAAGATCGGCCCTAAAAACCGCACACTCCGATAGTCCACCGGTTGATCAAAACTGTCAGCGCATTATTAAACACGGTTGAAGTACTTTTAGAACCAAAGAGTACGGTACCGCTCAAAGTGTACCTGCTGTGCGCAGCTGCACTAGGAGTGTGGCAGTGATTGTGGATATTAGAATGAGGTACTACTCGAGAGCTTGACGGCTAAAACACAATAGGCATTTGAAGTGTAAACAACGGAAACAGAAAATATCGGTAGTATACGTGAAACTAAAGTCTGCACATTACACACATATTGTAGCATATCACGGTGTGTCATACCATACCACATTACCCTGCATTGTGCATCATATCATTAGCGTCTTCTTGAGGATCCGGAGAGTGTGCACATTCTACATGCTGTAGAATGTTCTTTTCTCAACAAACGTAGGTTCGTTTTTCCGATAAGAACGGGTGTGCGACTACAAGAATAGGTTTAAGAATGTGACCTTCATTGATACATTTCGATGTGTCGGGAGGTTTCCCAACCAAGTTCATGGCTGACTAACTGAGAAAGATGTCAAGGATCTGACCCTTTGACGGGCGGATTTACTAAACCAAAGAAAACTAAGTATAGTTTGAAACTAGTTTCTTGGAAGAAGCCGGGATTCGTGAAATTAGTTTGGAGTGTATGTTCAGAATTTAGAGAGTTGGAGAATAATGCAATGATCAAATGTTGACAGATGCATGTCAAAAAAAAGCAAGTGATAAGGAACCTCTCAGTACCCGAATAGCATTCCATCGCTGGATAAAATGACGCGAGAAGTCGGCAGCAATGCGTCCGGACAAAACACATCCGATATCGTGCCAAGGAACCCGAGGCGTTATCATGCGGTCCACAGTATCTGCGGCGAAAGGCGTGAAACAACGGGGTGCTCATTAATATGCTAGAGAAATGCAGATACCATAGCATTTTGCGTGCAACGAATGATCCACCAAAATAGGTAATAAATTCCCCACCGTTGTTTGGTAGGCTAATTACTTTTCAGACCCAGCTGAGATCCACTACCGTGCGCAAGACAGGCGATTCAGATAGGGGTTCAAAGATATCCAGAAACCTTCTTGGAGGTAGACACGAATTCTTACTATAGATCATAAGGGGAATGTCGTAACCAGACGATAGATTGAGTGCTTCTGGTGAGAGATTTTATTCAACTAAGGGTCTGGATCAAGTATACATTGATGGTCCTTCCTAGTGCTCCGTGGTACAGCTGCCCCTCCATGCTAAAGCGACGGACAAAAAGCAGTTAAATCTGCTTCTGACACAGAGCAGATGCAACCTGGGATTTTCCCCAGATATCAAGCTCGCTTCAGTTGCATACGAGTCTCACTGTATATCTAATAGTATTGGATAAAATGCCCGCTGGTTCGAAATGTTATCCCATGCAAACTGGCAGTTTTTTTCATATATCATTAAGATGACTGTGACGGTATACTGTTGAAAAGTGTCCATCAGCCCTATCGTATCAAAAGATAATGAATGTGAATCTTAATTTTTGGCTTCAATTAAATATGAAGTGGTCAAGTTCGGTGGGGAATAGCACACAAGACATCCAAGTGCGTTCGCGAAAGTTCGTGGCGTACTCATCTCAACTAAAATGGGGCAGATGGTGGGTTGTGTTTGATATACGGTTTGCTGATTAGGAGCAGTTTCAAAAGTCTCCCGTTAACGTCAACATATCACTCAATCGAGTGCTAATATGCGTGTATATCCAACCTGGCGTCTAAATATGAAGTCAGATAGGGCCACATGATTTGCTTTAAACTGAGTAAAGATGGTATTTAGCGGTCAAAAAGTTTCATTTGCCTTCCAATTATTACTCCGAACTCGTGGAGATCGTTCCAACTGAAACGTAAATCGGCTTTATGTGACGAATTGGGAGCAGAGAGTATTACAAACGAGAGATTCAGCTGAGAATTAACTGAGTCCCCCATGGATACCAACTTACAAACGGCGGCTGATCCCCTGCTTTTTCAGCTTCAACTATACACCGCAGATATGTTGCTTCACTTGCTTGCTGCATGCACATCAGGTTGCCGGATTTTGGCGACGCAGTTTTCTACGTTCTGGCGCGCTGCCAAAATGATGACCAAGTTCAACTTGATCGCAGTTATTGTGAGGGCGAAAAGAACCACTGTTTGGTAACTGAGTTCTAATGATTGCGAGTTGCAAATGACTGCAATCGAGCAAATATCGTTCAACCAGAAACCGCCCAGGTTAAGTCGTATCGTCCCCTCCGGTAGGATTGTGAAGGCAGTAGGGTGTTTCCCCCAGGCGACCAGCATATCCATGTTTACGGAAGCAGCGATGCTGGTTTCCCCCCATGAAGGACGGGTTAGAAAAGATCGGCCCTAAAAACCGCACACTCCGATAGTCCACCGGTTGATCAAAACTGTCAGCGCATTATTAAACACGGTTGAAGTACTTTTAGAACCAAAGAGTACGGTACCGCTCAAAGTGTACCTGCTGTGCGCAGCTGCACTGGGAGTGAGGCAGTGATGCCTCATTGCGTCCGTCCTTGGGGCAGGCCCCTCCCTACCACCAAGTGGCGGAGGCTATTAAATCATCGACTCCCGGAAGTATTCCTGGAGGCCTAACAAACAGGGAGTGAGGCAGTGATGCCTCATTCCCTGCGTCCTTGGGGCAGGCCGTTCCCTACCACCAAGTGGCGGAGGCTATTAAATCATCGACTCCCGGAAGTATTCCTGGAGGCAACCCTAACAAACACTACCCCGCGGTTTGGACTTTTGATTCAGAGGCAAGGGACGGGGTTCCTGAGCAAAATCCTACATCCCCCCACTGCTTTGTGAGTCAGACATTTGAGTAAAAAAACTCAAGGTGGGATGCCCCAAACAAACCTCTCCTCTGCGGCTTGTGCAACAGAGAATTATCATTCACCATTGCAGCTCTTCGCTCACCGGCCTTCCCCTAAACCCCCGCCCCACCCATCGAATGACGCTGTGCGATCAGCCCATCTGCCCATCACTGTTCCACGTCTAAACCATCGGCCACAAATGTAAACCAAAAGAATCACTTGCCAATCTCAAAAGATCTGATCCATGTTGCAGCCTTTAATGCCCGTACTCTATGCCAAATCGGGCAATGGGAATTTCTGGCTAAAACTTCACTTAGAACGACCTCAGATGTTCCACATTTCACTCTTCAGGCATCCGGTGATCTCGACACAATGGCTCGTGGTATCTACGATGTGAGAGTTGCACTCATCCCCAAGGCTGAAAACGTCTTACCGGACCGGATCCCAGTAAACGGTCGTATTTACGCTATGTGGTGGTCTGGTTCAATAAGATCAAATCAGGTCGATGTGGTAATTTGTTGCATCGACATATATCCTTACAGACTGCAGTCCTGAGACTGAGAAGAACGGGCTTTATTATGATCTGCCACGACTGCGTCGGCAGCAAAAAGAACGGATATAGTAACTCTAGCGGGTGATATGAATGCTCAAGTTGGTCGACTGATTTCGGAAGAAGTACAGTTACGTGGTAGATTTGCAGTCAATGCACAGCGCACGGATAATTTGGAGTGACTGCCTCAGATATGTGCTGACCATCGTCTGTTCTTTTCCAGTATGAACTTCCATCACAAACGCTCACATCGAGTTACTTGAAGGCACACAACTACAAAACAATTATGGACTCAATTGGACCCTGTGGCTATCAGTAACTGATGGAGATTCTCAACTAAAGGCTGTCGATCTTTCTGGTCACGCTATTGTGCAAGTCTGGCTATCACTTCGCTTTCCATCAGCATTACGTGTACCAAAGCATAGCAGTTCCATTCATCAACTCCGACAAGCTTCACTACCTCAAGCGTATCGAGGTGACTGGCCTACTGTAAACGCATAGTCACAAGGATGATGAAGGTTGCTTGGAGGTTAAAGGGAAGCGAGTGTGGGAAGCTGTGCTCTCCGCTTTTTGAACTGTTTGTCCAAACCATCCGACTCGACTAAATTACCGCTGGATATCGTCGGGATTAGCATATCTTATTGCTACCAACAATGAGCCGCTGCGACAGCCCACACAGATCCCTCTAACACGTGATCACCAGGAGCTTGAACAATGACCGAGAACGCTGGTGGATTTTGAAGGTCTAGGAAATGGAGAAGGTTTTCCCTGCAGGCAGCAACCATGTCTAAGTTTGGCCGATTCGATCAACCGGTCAAAAGAAGGCTATTGTCAGCAAAACAGTTTTCGAGAAAGATGTAACGACCATTTAGTGACAAAATCGTCATCCTGAGCAATGGGTTGAGCACTTTCAAGAACAGTTTACTTTGTCTTCTTCAACACAAAAACTGAAAGAAACCAGTAGGCCTGAATGAAACATTAACATCAGCCCATTATCAACAACTGGAACCCACCGTGAGATATGAAAACTCAAGAGCGACAAGGCACCTGGCGCGGATGGCCTACATCCCGCACTCTTCAAAGAAGGTAGCGTGGTTCTGGTGAACAATCTGATTAGGAAATTTCTCAAACTGTCTGATTTACATCTTGAGAGTATTAAATTGCTGCCACGTGGCATTGCTGTTTTTATTAACTTGTAAACAGCTGGAGTTTCCGAGTTAAATGGCATGAAGTTTGTTATTCCAACTATGGGCGGTTGCTACTCAGGAGTGTGGCCAAACTACTTATTTGCAACCTATAATAGAGACAACGTAAGTTTCAGAAGGGTATCTGGCAACCGCATACCAGGCCGCTTGATATCCAAGGACAATAAAGATCATCCTCCAACGAACAAGTCACTCACCTGCTCCCGCGTGCAGCTTTGGTGACGGTTCCGCCAGCATCCAATTAACGTAGTCTTGTCCAATCCATGTGCACCGCGTACCCAGTTCACACAGTTGATCCAGATCGACCATCTCGGCTTTTTCACTGAAATGAAATTTCATGTCCTTTAGACCGATATTCGGGGTTGATCATCACAACAGTAATATTAGTTCGACTTCAAAGCCTGTTGACACGCAACGTGCCACCATGTCATGCAATTAGTTGTCTCTGAATCACACGCAGTGCTAATAGCTGTCCCTTTTTTATCCTCATGTTTTTGACCCTCATCTCGCGTAATCTGACGAGATAACCTGCGGACAGGACACTGATCGGCAAAACGCTGAACTAATTCACAGACATAACGAATGAACATACAGGTAAAATACACACTCACTTGCACACTAATGTGGTTTTAGCGGGAAACTCGATTGGAACCACAGTCGAACCTTTCGTTTACGACAACCATCAAAGGAACGTGGTGCACAAAGGCCAACTCATTTTACGGTCGGCGCGATACGTGAAATGACCCAGTATATTTTTGTGATGTAACACATTAGTCATAAGCTTCCTGAAAACTCGCCAACGGTTCAAGACCGGTCTGACCGTTGTTGTGAATCACCATGTAGGTACAGTCCACGAGTTTCCATCAGCTTTATGTCCTACTTGGAGACCAAATTGTACGAATTACTAGTTTGGACTTTTGAAGTGTTTTCAACCTTATTTTGTGTATTATGTAATGCAAATGTAGTATGTATCGGGTCAACTGAAACATAAGGCGGCACTTGTGCAGCACATTCGGCTGATGAATAACACAAACGAGAGATTCAGTTGAGTGCTTCTTCAACACCACTTACGTGAAATTTGGTGTTGAGGTGGAACGCAAGGTCGACGGAAACTCAGGCACGATGTCCTCCTGATGAAACCTGAGTATGATGAGACCGGCGGTGGGCTGTCGAAGCGTATTCAACAACCTTATGAGCTGGTGAGTGTAATAGGACTTCATCGAATCCTTATCATCAAAACCAATCAAGCAAACTGACTGGAAGCCACGCACTAACTTTTCACCATGTTAAATGAAAATCAGTCAAAAGTTATGCTGATTCCGATAAATGGGACATATGATTTATGCGTATCTGACCGAACAGGTCTGTGTTCCGCCTGACTTCGCAACCGACACACATCGTGGCTGTGGTGGGCTACCTTGATAATTTCATTTCCTAGGCGGATAAGTATAGATCAGATCAGTGAATACTATCCAGAAGTGCAAGTTCTCAATGCTCTACTGGTTTCATGCAGCTTGATGACAAATCACTTCAGAGAATCTTCAATTTGTCAGCCTTCAATGCAGCAAACCTCCAGTTCACCGATTCGCCAGGTCACCAAACAGTTATTTACAAGATGAGTTGGAAGATCCAGCGTATGACTGTTTGCTAGCTTCAACAGGACGCTTCAATTAGTCATTAAATGTGCAGCTCTCGAAGGCTTGCAGGAACTTGATATAACATTTCTAGCCCCGGTGATAATCATCCGCTGACTGTCGTCGAGACCTGTAAATCCAAGCCAACGCACCCGCTAATCTTTTCACATTCCGAACTGACTCTCATAGGTTGTATTGCATTACAAAAGAGTAGAAAACAAGCGTGCCGTATCAGTGTCCTATAAAATATCTTACAACTAGGTAGCCTATTTTAAACTCTACCATTTTATTCATGGATCAACGGTCTTATTTTGCTACTCGGATCATCGTCTAGTTGCGGTACAATCCCCGCAGAATCCCGAAGATGAGTCCTAACTCGCACGCATTTCTACCGGTTGTGCTAAAAGATCACCAATAATGTACATGAACCACAAAAGAAAGTTAGCGATCGCCTCTGCAAGTACGCCGTTAAAAGTGATTTTTTTAAAATTTTTCTTGGGAAGTCTGATGAGCATAGGAAATGGAATAGGTGATCTCAAGAGTAAGTTATGTTTAACAAGGGACTCTACGATGAAAACGAGGTGTGGGCTCCCCAAATCAGTTATGTTCAAAATATAGTGACTAGTTGAAATTAGTTTCCCCAGAGTGGACACCTTCATTCTAAAAAAACGGTCCTTCCTCTTTGCGAAAACCTTAATAGTAGACCGGTGGCCAAAATCCTAACCTCTTTAAATGGGTAACGTAAACGCTGTCGGTCTTGGGTTTATTACACTTTGATAAGGACCTATTTTCTCATAGACCAGGAGTTGATGGCAGGGCGTTTCTGTTCAGCTCTACGAAAACAGGATTGTCACAAGCATTATAAAGAACTACATACCATTTTCAGAGCACACTTCTGATACTACTCAATGAGTCTGACAACTCAACGTTACCCACAAATGGTGGCCTGCTGCTCTAAGTGTACAATGCATGTGAGCTGATGATAGTGACTGACGCTATCTGCATTTTTAAGGTTTCTCGGAAGAAGTCTCAAATAAATAATGGATAATGCAGCGAAACATTCCATGTCCTCAGATGATCGCGTCATGAGAAATAATGTATGCTTATCCCTCAGAGGTGGAGTGAAGGCGGTTTAGTCCAGGCGAGGAGGCCGTTTATGAAAAACTATGTAAAGGTTACAACGTCATCAAAAAATTATCAAGCCACACTTCCTATTTCCCGTGGATATTTTTGTAAATAATGCCTATCTCAGCTTACACACCCTTAAATAGCAATGGCTAACACAAATAGAATTATCCTGATCACCCATACCTCTTGCTACCACAAATGTTTTACCTTTCTGTAAGAGATTGTTGCAGATGAATCATACCTGATAATCAATAAGCCTAATTACTACGTCTACATTCGGAGTGACTAACAAACCGACTGTAGCTAACAATTACGTAAGTTTAATCGGCTAGGCACATATTACGTTGAGAAGAAAAGTTAATCATCTCATGGCTGGATTAATTTGGGATGCTACGTGTTTCGACCGACCAATACGTCAAAACTGATGCATCAGAGGATTTGTGCTTACCACTATTCTATCGTAACTAGTTTTTGTTATGCGATGATAAAGCGTAGGAGAATCAAACAGCATGGGGGAAGACGAAGCAGGGAGTGTCAGGTGACTGATTTTGGACCTCGGGTAAACTTTTAGGCTGCCTGTTCCGGATGAAGAGATTCTGCGAATAGATTGATGCAAAGTATTGTAATCCATAGGACGCATGGTCAGTTATAGTCTTGACCTCATCTGCCGCTTGCACTTCATCAGTAATGCTCACGTGATTGTGAACATCAATACTGGTTTCCATTTTTCGCGTACATCCTGGCATGAGGGTTAAAAAGCTAACATATTTCATGTTTCAAACAAGGTTGCTTATCAGTTCTCTTGTCCCTCATGCACGAGTGACAATGAATAACTGGTCTCTTCCTTTTCTTGCCTCACCCACAATTACCGTCCACAACACATTCCCTCGATAAACAAAAACTGCTCGTGTACAGCACCTCGTCAACCAGATGCCGCCCATGTTTCGACTCGTCTTTTTCGAAAGATCGCACGTACGTCCCACTGTTGTGAATACAGACGCTATTCATCGGTCCTGAAAACTGTCCGTGCAGCGGCACTGACAAATTCAAGAAGTGAACTTCCTAGGCATCTATATTTCTTCGGTGATGTAAACTAATGCGATACAGTGGATATCAAGGCAAGTCGAGTGAATGAGGGGTTGGACAGATTAACTTGATTGCTGATGTAACTCAGTTAATCCACTTAGATTATAGGTGAATAAATACAATATTTTCACCAAATGTGTTATATTAGTCTCCCAATCAACTTGTCATAAAAATCCAGTAAAAAACTTGAAAAATTCCTCCCCATCTGCAGACATTTTACCAACTTATCAGTCTGTCTTGGTCTTACAAAGTTCAAACCTAACTTTTCTGTTGGCCTAGGGGAGCTAAAACTTGAAGCTGCCGAATAGATTTCGGTCCAAGCCAGCTTGAGCTAGACGAGGTACACCGTCCAGTTCTTGCGCAATCGAATGTTCGGAAATGCGAAGCTAATGTAAGTTTCTGTTAAGAAGGACAATAACATTTTTGCCAGTGTGCCAATAAGGCAATGAAAATGAGTGAATTAGCTGAGAAAACATCCTCAACTTAAAAGCTTGTGGCGTGTGACAGCCGGAGTATCAGATGTTAGCAGTCTTTACATCAGTCCTAAAGACACATTCGCTTGATCAGACTTAAAAAAATGTAAATAATCCCTCGAAGTCAAAGCATATGAGGTAAAAGTTTTGTCTGTTCCCACTATCCCGCTTGCTCTTCTGCGATGTGTCGGAAACAACAAGAATGACGTCAGTAGCAACGGGTATAAGTGTATAGAGGACAAACTAACGTTTCGTCCAATTGTTCGTCCTCTTCCCCTTCAAAACCAAAGTTGTTGTAAGCACCGGAGTCTTCGCGGTGTGAGCCCCACTCAGCTTCCAGGTATTTCAAGTCTGCGTCTTCATTCAGCTCCACATAATCCTCTGCACTGTGCGGTTTTGCATCAGCCTTTGAAAAAATGGCATGTACTTTCTTTCCGAACCGCTGAAACTGACTCCAAAAGAGGTAGAAAAAGTGAAACCGCATGTGCCATCTTCCAAACGAACAACGGTAGGATTACATTCAGTTGGGCATAAACAAATGAATTATCCAGACAAAACAAGATGTAGACAATCCTCAACCACATCTGCATGTAGAGCACACCTAGAACCCTTCAGTATGTAATACCAATGTTACGATTTTGTAAGACGATAAAAAATGTGCGCATAATTAACAGTCAGCAGCCCAAAATATTACATTTTCGGTTGCTACATATTCCATCTGCTTGGTGCAATCTACGGAACTCAGTATTCGGACAATGAAATTGAATTTTCGAAAGTTATGACGTGCCCCTGATGGACTAAAGCAATCGGGCAATCGAATTGAGAATATCCGTCCGAACTTATAAGCCCCCATTTAGACATCTCAGGGTCTCAGCAATGCTGGTAAATTAGTCCACAAGACTTTTCAACCAGACGCATGGTTGCTTCAGCAGCTGTAGCACTCTTTCGATGCCTAGCTGCCATGCCACGCGAAGGAAGCACGAGGGCTGGGATACTGCCAGGTTGCCCAAGCCTGGACAGAGGAAGTCAGGAGGTCGAGGTCGGGTTCGAATCACGAACCTTCCGGTCAGTAAATTCGTGTTTCAACCACTTGGTCCATCTCGTCCCATGGTTGCTTCAGTGAAGAATTTAATTTGGTGGGCTGCAAAGACGGTTTTTGGTTTGAGCACATACGCAATAAGATGCAACATTTTGGCGTAGGAAGTTTTACTCTACTCGTGAAGGTTTCGCAGCTGAGAGTATTGTGCGGATGATGAGCACCGCAATCTACTCGTCAATCACGATTGACTGGCAGTAGCAGGATACCCAGGGCGGTTAAATTTCAAGTGCAGTGCTGTCACTTAACAAGGTGCCCTCCGGAGTCTGCTATGAAGCAGCGCACAAGAAAACTCCGGCCTGTATTCGATTGCGTTACAAGAGAGAGACAGATTCTTCCAAGAAGAAAGCGGCTTAATCAGAAAGGTTGAAATGGATTTTCTAAGTATACCACATCAATATAAAAAGGCTACTTTGGTATCCGCTGCAAAAGGGCCAGTGATACCATCAATGGCATTGGATCAAAACGCGTTCTAGATTGTAGCTCACACAGTTCATCTATTGTTGACAGGAATCCACGGGCCTGACAAAGTATGTCGCTTCCTCGTGTACAGAAGAGTGTCAAGGTGTGATCAAGATGACGAAATCCCACACTTCACATACATGTTCCATGTTCGAAAACACGAACTGTGCCATATCAGAAGTACTTTTTTACCCAAGCAGACTGTCTCAATCAGCAGTACTCAAGGCTGTTTTCGGGAATTCTAGTTTTCTGAGGATTACGGTGCACTCCAAGCGCACTCCTAGCGGACAAAGGTATCGAGTCATGACTTTCTATTTCTAACAAATAAGAACTTTGAAATAAAGATAGGTTTCAGCGGCACCTCCTAACCAGTTTTTGCACCCAACAAGTGAGCAAGTTGCGAGGGCTTATAGCACCCAGCAAAAAGAGGGGGAGAGCAGCAGGTTATTGCAAAAATCACAGCCAACCGAGCAAGCATATATATACCTTAAAGGTTGTTTGCACTTATAATGTGGCTTGACCATGTACGTTTTGCCTTGCTTAACAAACACCAAATTCAAGGGCCACCAAACTCATTTGACCTGGCAGCCTACGAAAAAGGCGCCAGACCTGTCTATTTCTGTTAAACTAATGTAGGAACCTTCAAATAGTGTTTTTTGGCTCATTCAGTGTCGACTTTAGTTTTGAGGGATGATGCTTTAAAAGTACGACTTAAACCGTACGCCCTCCAAGAGGGAGGGCCCAATCTTTTGAGGGGAACACTGTGAATGAGAAAGCTTCATCCAGATTAACATACCATTGTGTTGTATTTTTGTCACGCAGTAGACTGGTCTTACTTTTATGAACTGGTGTGAGTATATTTTTACTAAGGTGCAAATATGACAGGGGAACAGCGACACAAATATCTGGGTTTGTATACCGTACTATTATTGTAAAAAAAAATAAAAATGTATAAAATATCGGCGGTATACACTCGTCGGAAACAAGTGGGGCTACAAGGTACAAACAATGGGTGAGAAACAGCTTCGAGCTCCTGATGCTCCTACGCTGGCACATAGTTGGCCTGAAGGTAAAAAAACAGTGGAACAGAAGAACAACCACTGGCTAACTTGCGCGTAAAAGATATAAAATTACAACAGGAGTTGCATATATGGACGAAAAACGTGAGGAATTTACACATTTAAAGGGTGCTGCAGATATTTACGGATGCGAGAACAGCAACTTCATATTTCTTTTCAGTAAGTCTTGGACTACTTAATTACTAGCATTAGCCAAATTTAGATGCCGGTTCGCATATGTCGAGGACGATCCCCGTGCGACTAAGGTCACGCATAGTTCATGGAAAAACTGAGACCCGAGATGACGCAGCAAAAAAGTAAATATGCAAAGTGGGTAGGATATAATTCGACTTTGCCCTGCTTTGTAACTGGTGTTCGGTTTGAAAAGGCAATCGCAATTGGCTGACATGTCAGATGCATGTTAGCCAGTATGCAGATTCCTTTTATCGACTGATCAGTCTGTAACCACGTGAATAACCCATTTTGTAAGGTAATTATAGTTACGTTTTCTTTTATTGGTAATTTGGTACTGACGAGCCAATAGGAAATGAGCCCATATGCGAGGTTCGTCTTCTAGTCCCATTGTTTAGTTTCCTAAAGGGATGTAATTGTTTGAGAAGTTTAAATGAAATTAGTCTGATTTAGCTTAATTAGTAGGTAACATTAATAATTGTCACTGACAAGGCAAAAACGTCCAAGCATCTTCCAAACTTGAGTCTGAGTAAAATGGACTCAACCAGCCGGGAATTGGACAAGGAGCCGGGATTTATGGGTTTTTACGCAGACATAGTTTTACCACTATACCCTCACCTTAGATTTGACTGTCTGTCATGAAAGGTTCAAAGATGTGCCTGACTGTGGAGTCAGCAGTCCACCGAAGTTTTTTGGTGAAAAAATCAGAAGTTATCATCCTGATGAGCTGTAAGAACGGCGTACATGTCGTACAGTGGTTGCAGCTACCCCAATAGTGATCTTGGTCAACTCAATAAACCTCCGTTTTCTGGCAAGTTCCCAGTGCACACTCAAACTGAGCATAGCTCAGTCTGCGGCGAGTAAATTATGGAAAACGTACAACACTGATAGGTAAGCACGTGAAACAAACAGTTTTCAGAGGAAGTTGTCAAAGAATTTCATTCAACAGTTTTCTTAAAAAATGTTGTAAAGTGCAAGACTCCCAACTCAGTCACGCCCATCATCAGTCAAACGGAACGAGAGCTGTATTGGCCGTAAGTTTACTTGTTCGTTACGTACTTTGCTTCAGTCTTCTATTCGTCGGTGATAACATTGGCGAAACGCACGAAACTCTTCTAGTAAACATAGGAATAAGAAATCAGGACCTTGAAGGGAAACCAGAACAACTCCACGAAAATTGCTACGAGATTCCAAAACTTTGTACTTACCATGAGAGTAAATCTTCGATGGACTGCCGAATCTTCAGTAGATTCTGCCTGATCCAGCGGAGCACGAGAGGACCGAGGTGCTCGGCGGTCTTGGACTGTTAAGTTTTTTCCACTAAAGGGTTTGGGTAGACGCCAGATGGAGGTTCTGCGTTTTTGTGTTGATTTGATTTGTGACGGACTTTTATACCTTGGTGCATCTGTACCTAGTGATACCTATAAAAAGTTTAAACTAGGTATTCTTTATCTGATGAATAAAAGTTCTGGCCGTTTAGATGTAAAAATGAAATTTTCACATGCCTGTCTCGAAAACTTGAGATAGCATGGTGGTACGAATGAAATGTGGTGAGCAATCATTTTGAAGTCATCGGAAGGTGTACTACTGTCAGTATGCAATCGCGCAAAACATCAATATCGGGTCTTGGGTTTTCGTAAATATACGGATCAAGCTTGGGGAAAGGTATAAAGTAAGGAACGTCGCGATTACATCGCTCACTCGATTAAGAGAAACTGAGCTGTATGCGAGTGCTCTGAAGATTTCCGCTGGTGTGATGGGGAGACATCCCGGAAACTTCGCTGAATGCTTCGGATATCCGACACACATCCTCAGTTGTCACGACGGATTAACAAGGTGAACTCGTATACAGTATCCTACTCAATAAACCAAGTATTCAGGAGTGCTTGATTTATTGCTCGCATGTTGGAGTGTATCATTTCACCCAAATTAACCTTTTTCACCGAACCACATAGGTAAATGTCATCCCAACTAAGCCACTTTAACTGTCCATAATTTGACAGTGAATAACCTCCGCATGGATGTGGCCTAGAAATTCGATTTCTGTGCAGCCTTTGTGACATCGACCAACACCTGCCATATGTGTAGCATTTTTATTGAAACAAAGAATAAGATGGCTTGCACGGATGCACAACAAACCCATCTGGAGCCATCACAAACGGGAAATCCATTATTTCAGAAGAGCTTGGTAAACAGTCGGTCGTTTTTATTTGGACAACGTTTCGCTTTTAACACAAAGGCTTCAACAGACCAAGCTTTTGTGTAAAAAGCGAAGCGTTGCCCAAATGAGAACTACCGATTGTTCACCAAGCTCTTCTGAAAAACGATGACTTCTCAGTCGGTTCCAAACCTTTTCCAGTTGATTCAGAAATCCATTAATTGCACTAATCACACAACATTACACTAATCAGTCTAAATAGATCCGGAAGCACGCTGTGGGATCCAAGCACGAACTGTATCTCCACCAAACGACGCATTTTAGCGAAGTTGCATGCAACTCGCACGTGCATTGGCATTAATAACGGAATCGAAGTATGCACTCAACTCATAAATACAGCTAAACGGTGTTCAGAGGCTCTCAAATCATCCACACTCTCTTCAGTGAAACTACAATGTCAAATTAAACTCACCCTGCGGTCAACTACACTACGGAGAGGTGACATCATGAGGACGGAGGTAAAACCCCTAAGTAACGGATGAGATCATCACTTTGATGAGAATCATCTAACATTCAGAAGCAAATGCGATTCTGACATACGATAAACATCATAAACGAAGTTTTTATTTGAATTAGGAACGACTGATTTGCCTAATTAGGCGAATTAGGAAAATCATGGTCTAAAATTGACATTTTTTGCTCAGAGGAAGTTGAGGAAACATGGCATTCACTTTATGGGTAGGGGATGAATCATTGAAAGAGCGATGGAATTACTAGCTCTTCTCGCACGTTTGCCTGATCACCTGGACTCATCTGAACGCGCGTACAAATCCGCGCTTCTATCCGCTCACTGAAAGTAATGCTGGTTTTCGGAACATTGAGGCACGCGTACTGGTGATTTTTCACGAAACACAGACCTTCCGGGCCAGCTGTGGGGACCGAAACTGTAATCTCGCCTGCATTTTTGAGCCTAGCGCGTAGGTGTTAGTCATGTAGGCAGGTAGCTGAATCCCACATGCGTTTAATCTGAGTGACTCGTAGTCTGATCGACACATCCACAGGCCTATGGATGACGCATTACAACACTGCTAGGTTTCGATTGCGCGCAAAAGCCTTGTATCAGGATGATGATTAATTGCGCCTAGCGCTAAAAGAGTAATGGAATCACCGGCCTAGTCTAAGGCAATAAACAGCCGCCAAAACAGCGGAGAAGAATCGAATATACACTCATTTGCAAACTAATTTGTTTTTTCCGAGAAACTCACCTGGAACCCAGCTGGATCTCTCGTTTGTGATTTTCTCAGGCAACTGAATGCCCTGCACCAGGCAGCCTCATGTTTCAGTCGCTACGATATTCGAGATATCGCGATACATGTATATCTTTATAATCTACTACTCATAAGTTTGCTGAATTAGTTTGCAAATGAATGTATATTCGCTAATTTCGTGCAATTTGTTTTCAAGTAGAACATAAGGTT